GCGAGCGAAAGCAAAAAAGACAGTAGAGCCCATTGATTATAATCAGTGATATTTCCTACACTGGATGCGGCGCGGCGCAACACTATACAGACGTGACTGCTTGAAGCGACAAAGCGCCTGTTGCAAAGAGCTTGGACTACGTCAGGAATAACGGGGAATCCGTTTGCTGTTGGGAATTTTGCATTCAGTGTAGACAGTATTGATTATAATAAATAGGTTCCGCTGTCTTTTGTCGCGACGCGTCTCACTGCTTGCGTCCAAGTATATAAACCATAAATGTTTAAGAATCACTTAGGCTACCTCTGAGCGATTTGATGATCAGGTAGATCTTGAACCGCACACTCACGCCAGAAAACTACTAATTGGCCAAAATGCTTCGTTTGACTTTTCGGAGATCATCTACTCTTCCCTGTGAATTACCTCTAACCTACTTTCTCTACAATCTGAATTTCTGCATATTGAATTTTAGAATATTGAATTTGATGTTCAGAATTTCCTCTTCATCTTGAAAATGTAAAGCTGTATTTTTAAATACTGGATATTTGCAGTCTAAGATTTCAGAACAAAAAATTCACTGTTTGAAAATACATATCTTTAAAACTCTGCCATAAAAATACTCTGTTGTGTTAAATTTCAAATGTTTAATATTCAAGTTAAAAAAATCTAATTCAGAACTATGTTAAATGCCACATAATATTCGGTTTTGTTAAATGACACTTGTCAATAATTCAAATTTACACAATACAAATTCAATTAGTTTTGTCATATTATAAGCTCCATAAATTTGTGTTTAAGAAGGTCAAGATCTAAGCATCTCCTTGAAGATTGTCATGCAAATATGGCTGACTCTTTGCTCTGAGAACCTCAATAACTACTGGCCCTAGTTTAGAGCCTGCTCTGTGACCCAATTACTGTCATAAGAATAAAAATTATTAAGCAATTAATTCCCCCCCCACCAAGTCTCTCTCACACAGATACTCATGAGAGTGGCACATGGACAAAATTCACATGGCACTCAATCACAGGCCTTCTAACACACACACTCACACACACTCTACAACAACCTCAATACACCCACACACACTCTCCTGCACTCCTCGACTAGCACTCACGTTTCAGATGCTCACACGTGTCTAAAAACACATGACACAATACAACACAGAGGTCAAAAATTTGGTCAAATCAATAGCAGCTGACAAACATCATCCAGATTATTGTAAAACACAGTATTACTGTCAGTGATCCTGAAAAAATTGTATAAGCAAAATTAAACATCAATGTCATCATTATTTTCAGCTGTTAAACTGTGACAATTTTACAATGTCTTTGAGGGTGGTCAACCTTTTTTTTTTGCACAGAGAACAATCAAAATAATTTTTTAAAGAAAACATCACAGTTGTTGTGATTTATTTGTGATGTGTAAATCAATAATAATTTGATAAGCAAAGCATGGGGCCTATTTTGTTATAGTAGTTGTTATCGTTTCCTCCAAACGCAAAAGCAATTTCTGAGCAGACAATAGGACCTGCACCGAGCACGAGCTGGAGAACCTGAGTATGTACTGCGTCCAGTGTAAGACTCCCGTGTGCTACCAGTGTCTGGAGGACGGCAAACACGCCACTCATGAGGTCAAAGCGCTGGGGGCCATGTGGAAACTCCACAAGGTGGGGAAACTGGTTGAGATTGTTGTTTACTATTTAAAAAATTCACTGATGACTAAAAAGGCATCTTAAAACCAGCCTGGTTTAAGCTGGTCTAACAGGTGGACAACCTGGTCTGGATGTCTCACAGTCTGGGTAAATTGGTCTTCAGTTGGTTAAGCTGGTCAGCAAGCTTGTCTGCTACACTCTTAAAACTACAGGTTCCAAAAGAAGGAGTAATGCCATAGAAGAATTATTTTGGGTTTCCCAAAGAATCTTTGAGTGAACAGTTCTTTAAAGAATCATTATTTTCTTATTGTGTAAAGAACATTGTAAAGAATCTTTTTCCACTATATAGAAGCTTTTGTGTGGAAAGATTCCATGGATGTTAAACCTTATTCATGGAACCATCAATGCCAATAAAGAGCCTTTATCAAAAAAAAAAAAATCTGAACACAAATCGCATTTGGTGACATACTCTGTCTACATCGGACGTCAAAAACAAAACAACCTAACGGCTACCGAAAGGCTAACATTGTAGCCTATTGAAAATGTATAGAATTTGTGTACAATAATTTTCAACAATCTTTTAGTTACCATAACATTTTGTCTGAAAATAAATTGCTTCTGCGTTGGGAGGTGACAATAGCAACAACTGCTCACTAAGTGTCTATGGCTGTCTTAAAAACATTGTAGGATAAATCATAGGCTATCTACACATTTTCAAATACGTAGCTATACAACGTTTCCAAACAAGTTTGTCTGAACAGATATCGTTGTTGTTGAGAGGTAACCATAGCAACAACTACTGGCTCACCGTCTATATTGGACGGAATCGACAAAAAATTTCTCTTTTGTATTATTTTGATCTATTTGCTCTCTTTTTGGTTACCATGGAAATTCTGCCTGGAGCAATTATCTACCGCCTAGCAATTAGGAGAGAACATTTCAGCTTTAGCTCCGACTGTCAAACAGAGCTGAAGAGTGACTTGATCTTGCCTACATAAACACACCTTAAGCGGTGTTGGATAGGAAAATCAGGCGCGCTGTTAGAGCAGGTGCACTACCACAAACATTGGCTGTGTCTAAAATTCATCAAGCACTTCTGCCATACTTTGCATCATCAGTTTGATTGGATTCCTGGAGCTCATCACGTAAACTGACAGCGATTTTATGCAGTAGCTGTTGGCGCTTGTGCACCAGTGCTGGAGTCAGCCTACGCCCACCGAATTTATACCGCCCCCTCCTCTATCCTCCGCTGCATAGGACGGAGAACGCGAAGGAGACGTGTACGTGAAGAGCTGCCATCGGAGGAAATATTCCGTTTTCGTTTACAGGAAGCCTCCGTATCTGGCTCGAACGACAAGATGGATGAAATGGAAGAGGAGTTAAAATGCCCGGTGTGCGGCTCGTTTTTCCGCGAGCCGATCATCCTGCCGTGCTCGCATAGTATCTGCCTGGCCTGCGCGAGAAACATCCTGGTGCAGACGCCCGACGCCGAATCCCCGCAGAGCAGCCGCGCGTCAGGCTCCGGCGTCTCCGATTATGATTACTTAGACCTGGATAAGATGAGTCTGTACAGCGAGGCGGACAGCGGATACGGCTCTTACGGCGGGTTCGTGAGCGCACCGACCACCCCGTGCCAGAAGTCCCCCAACGGGGTGCGCGTTTTCCCCCCTGCCGTTCCTCCTCCGCCCCAGGCGCAACACCACCTGCTGCCTCACACCGGCGTCCTGCCGCCGGTCCCGCGGAACTCCTGCCTCACCTGCCCGCAGTGCCACCGCAGCCTGACGCTGGACGACCGGGGGCTCCGGGGCTTCCCCAAGAACCGTGTGCTGGAGGGGGTTGTGGACCGGTACCAGCAGAGTAAAGCGGCCGCGCTCAAGTGTCAGCTGTGCGAGAAGAGCCCCCGTGAGGCGACGGTCATGTGCGAACAGTGCGACGTGTTCTACTGCGATCCGTGCCGCCTGCGATGCCATCCGCCCCGGGGTCCGCTGGCCAAACACCGACTCGTGCCTCCAGCGCAAGGCAGAATCAGCCGCCGCACGAGCCCCCGAAAGATCTCCACCTGCACCGAGCACGAGCTGGAGAACTTGAGTATGTACTGCGTCCAGTGTAAGACCCCCGTGTGCTACCAGTGTCTGGAGGACGGCAAACACGCCACTCATGAGGTCAAAGCGCTGGGGGCCATGTGGAAGCTTCACAAGGTAGGGAAACTGGTTGAGATTGTTGTTTACTATTAAAAAAAATCACTGATGACTAAAAAGGCATCTTAAAACCAGCCTGGTTTAAGCTGGTCCAACAGATGGACAACCTGGTCTGGATGTCTCACAGTCTGGGTAAATTGGTCTTCAGTTGGTTAAGCTGGTCTGCTACACTCTTAAAAATACAGGTTCCAAAAGAAGGAGTAATGCCATAGAAGAATTATTTTGGGTTTCCCAAAGAATCTTTGAGTTAACAGTTCTTTAAAGAATCATTATTTTCTTATTGTGTAAAGAACATTGTAAATAATCTTTTTCCACTATATAGAAGCTTTTGTGTGGAAAGATTCCATGGATGTTAAACCTTATTCATGGAACCATCAATGCCAATAAAGAGCCTTTATTTTTAAGAATGTGCAGCCTGACCAGCTCAAAAGTGCCCTAAATCATTTTAAAACCAGCTCAAATCTCCTTTTTCAGTGGGCTGAGCACTCTGGTTTTGGTATAAAAGGTCTAGTGCAGTAAGACTTGTCACTGTGAAGGGTGAGACACCACCGGTCTAATTAAAACACAGCGCACGACACAACCAGCCATGATTCAGGCCAAATGAAAAACACTTGCGCACCAGCTCTCCAGCTTAGATACAACAGAAAAAAAACCAAAGTAATTCAAATCCAGGTATTCAAGACAAACCTTCTGATGGAAAATATATGTTTGTGTGGGTTTTGAGGCATCTCATAACTGCAGTGCACATTCTGTGCTGTTTTAAAGTGATGGAGGTTAAATGCTCCTGTGAGGTTGTGTTATTTTCTAGATATCTGTTGATGGGAACTCAACCGTACAGGATGCTCGTGTTAACTGTGTGTGTCTGGATTCCTCAGGGAACATGTAAAACTGCAGTGGCCATGGCCTGTTGTTGTAGCAACATGATACAGTGAGGCAGTGAGCTGATTTACTGTGTCTGTCTGTGGAAGAGAAAGACTGTATCCACAGGAGAGGTGAAGAATGAAGAAAGAGTCCCCCTCTCTCTCCTAGTCCTAACATGCTGTATTTTGCGAGTTAATAAATTGTGAGTGAGTTAATTTAGCTGTAAACACACAGGAAGACCATTTTATTTGATCAGAAACCATAAACATGAGCAATCAACAGGGAGGGATATGGTCGATCAATAAGTGCATGGTTTAACACAGCTCACACAGGTTATGCCATGTACATTACTTCAGCATTTAGAAAAATTGTTGGTGTGAGACCACCTGATGCTTCAATATTAAATATTCTGGGTGATATGATAAGATGATAATGATTGTTATGGCTGACAAGTGATAAATGGGCAATGCTAAAATTTTATACACTAAAAACTAAATGCTTCAAGTAAATTAAGCCACTACGATGATAATATGAAAATGGATATTCATTCTGAGATTTGCTGAAGATCATATTTAACAGTATTATTAAATTATAGGTGTTTTAAAGATTAACTTTATAAGAGTAAATGGTGTTCTTTCGAGCTTTATATTGATCAGATATTAAGCAGTTCTTCTGCTTAACATTTTTGTATTCATATTTAATATTTTACAAAAGTATTTTGCAGCAAAACTGTTAACATTGATAATAATAAAAAATGTTTCTTGAGCACCTGTGCCCGGTTGCATAAAGCACCTTAAATGTAATTTTCCCTTAAGATCGCCCTTAAGTTTTCCTTACACTTAAGGGTGTTGCATAAAATATCCCTTAAATGTTACTTAAGGGTTTCTTTAGGTGAAACGTCATATTTTCCTAAGGATAACATAAGGTTTGGAAAATTTCACCTTAAGTGTTACATAACAGTCTTCTACAAGACATGACCGGCCGCTTTATATGTTAAGTAGATTTTAATTTACGCATTTATTCACATATAAACATTGATCAAATTACATACAGCACATAATTAGCTCAAACGTGAGTGCGTCACACTCAAGAACAAATTTATATTCTATAATATTTTGTTCCTGTATTTTCCTACATATTACCTGCAGATGACTTGAAAAACACACATAAACCATATATTGTTGCAATCGTGTGTTTGTGTTTACGTTTCTGCTTTTTATTCAGCTTATAGAGAATGGGAATCTACGTCACGCCACATTGGATTCCGCCATGTTTTAGGACACGCTCAGGAGCACACAGTGTAAACACACACAAATCAACACAGAAAAAGCAGACCGTTTACAATTCATATTTTTTTGAAAACCATCTTACATACTCTTAGAATAAAACGGACTAATATATAAATCTCTTTAAATAAAAAAAATCACTCTATTACTTACTATTGGATAAAGCGTAACAGCTAACTTGGATCACGTGTCCCTTAATAACCAATCACATTACAGCCTTGACACCATTGAATTTCAGTCAGAGTTGTAGGACACTCATGCTGCGTCTCAATGTGCCTACTTATACTACGCCCTTAAAGTATGTACTCTTTTGGTGAAGAAAAAGTTCACAGTTTTGAGTGTGTAGTAGAAGAGTAGGCAATCTTTGGGACATACTATCACATCACACAACTGCGTCTTTAACGGACGCTCTGGCGCATAGATACACGCTAATGGATTGTGGGCAATATTAGCCATTAGAGTGTGCACAGATCCACACTTCAAAAATCGACCTGAAACAGTAGACCATCCGGGGACTTTTGGCATACTCTTTTCAACATACTATGCTTTGGGACACACTTATTCTAATCTCACATACTATTTAGGATGGATAGTATGAACATTGAAACGCAGGGCCGGTCGCCATTTACCGATACCATAGGAATGAATGGGAAGTGCCGTAAGCTGAATCCCAGCTGTCGCAAAAAGTCAGTGAAACACAGTGAAACGCATTTATGCAGTGAAACTCTCATAAAACGCCATTTTTTTCGTGGTAAACTCTAAAAATTGATTGTTCAATCCAAAAGTATTGTTTAGTGTAAAACATGTTGAAGATTAGCAGATAGGCTGTCGATTCATTAAATGATAAGCCGTTTCCTCTAAAAAGCTGTTTATTCTACGTAGTGAAGCCACTCCTCCATTGACATCCATTTAAAATGCTCCTTTCCCACGTACTGCCAGACCGGAAGTGTTAGCTTTAGCCGTTACGCTTTTTCGGCTAATGGTCGAAGACTTGCCTTCTAGTGGCTTTATGCAACACCCTTAAATCATTCCCTTGGGTAAGGGGAAATCACGCCTTAAGTCTCATACTTAAGGGAAAAACTTAAGGTGCTTTATGCAACTGGGCACAAATCTGCATGATTTCTGAAGGATAATGTGACACTGAAGACGGGAGTAATGGCTGCTGAAAATTCAGCTTTGCCATCACATATAATTAAAACATATTAAAATAGAAATTTTATTTTTAAGTTGTAATAATATTTCACAATAGTACTGTTTTTACTGTATTTTTTAAATCAAATAAATGCAGCCTTTGTGAGCATATCAGACTTCTTTCAAAACATTACAGACCCCAAACTTGAACAGTTGTGTATATCTAATTTTGACTGATACATTACTATAAATTTTAAGTCTGTAATTAGAAATTAAATAAAATAATTAAGAATAGTACATTTCAGGCATTTGATTGCATTTTATTTGGCAGTTTGGCTTGACCTCTGATATATGGTACTAATATTCACCCCACTGTCACCTTTGAATTAGGTGAGGAGACATTTTCATGTGCAGACAGATGTGAGAGCAGAAAAAGTTATACCTGACACTAAAGGAAACCATTGCTACATAAAAATGTCAACCCCCCCGCATTTCTATGGGATTACATCTCTGCCACAATTCTGCAAAAGTGCATTTTGCACGCGCGCGATCTGTTTTGTGGAGAAAATGTTCGTTTTGCAAAGAAACATTTTTTTGAGCACAGTAAAATCAATTTTGCATTTAAAATAAGTTTTTGGATTTGTGCAGACCTTCTCTTTTGCGTGTGCAACGCTTCACTAGCT